AAATCATATATTGCACCTGTATTTACTCACATGGGAATATTCCCTTTGGAAAAATGCAAATGCATGAACATATATTTTCATCTTATACGTCGTATATGACTTCAAGCTAACATATTATTTCATATTTATATTTTCATAGTTAGTCTAACATAAATAATAGATCCATGAGAACAATATTCTTTGTTTTCTTAAAAATTGATAGGTTTACTGTGAATTCAATAAATTACAATTTGCAAGGGGTAAGTATACTGTATGACCTTAGTTGCAAAGTACTGTTTATATATGCAGCTCAATAGCATAAAATATGTTGAATGAAGCATATGGTATGGATTAGTCTTGTGACACACAAACTGACCAATACATGAGGGTATTAGCTACTTTTCACAGAAACCAAAGGAGGACAATGCTTTTATTTCAACTGGGAGCTTACCTCCACACGACTGATCATGTGACCATGGTAGTGGGTCCCTTTAAAGCATGGCACAATGTCGAATGACATTTTGGGTAGCAGGCAGCCATTTTTATGTGTGCTATTTTACATTTCAAAAAGTAGTAGAGCGATTTTGTTCATATTTTATATGTGAATACTATAAGCATGGCACACTGTCTAATGACACTTTGGGTAGTAGTTGGCAATTTTGAAAAATGGCCACCATTTTTACGTCACTATAACTTCAAAAGAAGTGGAGCGATTTTGCTCATATTTGATATGTGAATACTCATGAGCCTTGCACACTGTCTCATGACACTTTGCGTAGTAGGCGGCCATTTTAAAAAATGGCTGTGGTCATAGGGGAGTTTTCTGTATTATGATGTTGAACATAAATAACTTAAAGAGGGACATGGGGTATAAATAGGAGGCAGACAAATGGAACAGCCAAAATAACTGTATTTTTGAATTTTTCACAAAGCTGGTCAACTTTCTCATATTTCATATTGATTGAGAAAATGTATTGGTTCCAATTTTGTTATGTGTATCTTTCACTGTTTTTAATTTCATATTCTGCAGTTAGATTTCAACTTCATCATTTTGTTGGATTGTGATGGGACATTTAAAAACACTGATAATATTTTTCAAATTTAAAAGTCTTCAAGATTAGCCAATCAAAATCAAGTATTTAGCAATGCTGTAAATTAAACTTACTAATCCTGACTATCTGTGCCATGTTAAAGTGTGGATGTAACCTGATATTTTAATGAGAGTTGCTAGCAACTTTAAAACCGGCCTTTAAAACAGGAATCCTATCGACAGAGGTTTTAAAACGTGCCATTGTTGTTGACAGAAAAGTGGATTTCGCGAGTCAGATGGACAAATCAGTGTTAACTAAAATGGCTGAAAATAAAAAAAAAATTTTCACTGATTTTTTGTAACAAAATTATTTCATATATCTACTCTTTACATTGACATGGATTTTTACAATGTAGGACACCTGAAATTATTTGTAAAGCTAGGAAATTGGTCAAAAATAGGCGAGCTTTTGAACCAGGAGTCATAGGGGAGTTTTCTGTATTGATGTTGAACAGAAAAAACAGGAATCCTATCGACAGAGGTTTTAAAACGTGCCACTATTGTTGACGGATGGACAGACGCACAGACGGACAGACAAGTGAGTGATTGCAAAAGCTCACCATGTGAGCTTAAAAAGTCAAAGAACGAATGGCTATAGACACCCCTGGGGTCACTTAACATTTTTTGAAAAATGCAATGTCGTTAATATCCTTGATATGTAGGATCAAATTGTAAATAAATATGTATATTTTCAAGAAATGGCAATAAAAAGCATTCAAGATTACTGATATAAGTATATTTTGGTTTTGGGAGGTATGTATCACTTCCTGTGAAAATGTGAATTTTTTATCAGTCTCAGAAAATATCTCCATAATGTATTAACCCAACTTGGCAGATGTCCCATTGTTTGATTGTGTCACTCTATACACTCATTGGATTAATATTTTGTACATATAAATAGTCATATTTCAATAGTCATTGAGTGGGGATTAGTTATGTTTGCAATTGTGTTGACCTACTTCTTTTTAGATAGAGGAAGGTCATGATAAACTCTTGCTTTGTTCATATAACGCTTGGTTCTTACCTAGAAAGTTATATGTATTGAGGGAATGGTGTACTTCTAAGGTACATCTTGAGATATGTAATAATCTAGGTAAGGACCAAGTGTTGTGCAAAAATGGAACTTTTCTGCAATTTTCAGCATGAAATAAAATGATATAAGCCATTTTGAAAATCCTTAGAATGATTGTGACAGTTGTGTTTTATATATTTGAGTATATTTTCTTTATATGATCTTTTCATGAACTATTATGTACTCGTATGCTTGCACTGGATCATGACCTCTTGAGAAGCATATATCTTTACCATGACTCTAAGCAACATAATAACATGCAATTCCTTTCAATACATTCATATGAGATGATTGTTGTACAATCATTTTATCTTGATGTTTTGTGTATGAATAATTTTTTTATATTATCACAGTTCACTGGCTGATCATACCAATGTTCATATTTAGAAATCCAGCTCAACTTTATTGTACAGAAGAAATATACTGTAAGTCACAACCAGTAGGCAGAAAAACGACATTTGCTAATAAAATGCCCAAAGCAAAGGGAACTGCATGAGTGAACTGCAATCTCCCAGTACCCCCTGTGTGGAGACAAGAGGGTTACATCTAAATCATAGTACACTCTCTTGAGATCAAGCCAACCAATTTAAACGATGCACAGATGACCATCTTCAAGTAGATGGGAAATATACCATCATAGTTAAAAAAAGATACATATGGCCTAATTTGTGTAAAAGTCCAGTAATCGGTTTGTGTCCTCTAAATCTCATTATACATGGGTGGAGTATAACCCAGATCCAGAGAGGTATATCCAGAATTATGGCAATGTCTATACTTTCTATACATTGTCTATACTTTCTATACTTTCGATCTCCTTTTTCATACTATCTGCCTTCGACGTTTCTATACTTTCTATACTTTCGAACTGCTTTTTCGTACCAACTGCCTTTGACAAATCAGATGTCTATAGTTTCTATACTTTCGAAATGCCCTTTCATACTAACTGCCTTTGACAAAGCAGAAATCTATAGTTTCTATACTTTCTATACTTTCGATCTGCTTTTCCCCATAACTGTCTTCTACAAATCAGATGTCTATAGTTTCTATACTTTCTATACTTTCGATCTGCTTTTCCCCATAACTGTCTTAGACAAATCAGATGTCTATACGTTCTATACTTTCTGTCTGCTTTTCCCCATAACTGTCTTCTACAAATGAGATGTCTATAGTTTCTATACTTTCTATACTTTCGATCTGCTTTTCCCCATAACTGTCTTAGACAAATCAGATGTCTATAGTTTCTATACTTTCTATACTTTCTATCTGCTATTTCCCAGAACTGTCTTCGACATATCAGATGTCTATACTTTCTATCTGCTTTTCACAAAACTGTCTTTGACAAATTAGATGTCTATAGTTTCTTAATCTATACTTTCTATCTGATATTTCCCAGAACTGTATTCGACATATCAGATGCATTCGATCTGCTTTTTCCCAGAAATGTCTTAGACAAATCAAATGTCTATAGTTTCTATACTTTCTATACTTTCGATCTGCTTTTCCCAATAACTGTCTTCGACAAATCAGATGTCTATAGTTTCTTTACTTTCTATCTGCTTTTCCCCATAACTGTCTTCGGCAAATCAGATGTCTATAGTTTCTATACTTTTTATACTTTTTATCTGCTTTTCACAAAACTGTCTTTGACAAATCAGATGTCTATAGTTTCTATACTTTTTATACTTTTTATCTGCTTTTCACAAAACTGTCTTTGACAAATCAGATGTCTATAGTTTCTATACTTTCGAACTGCTTTTTCAGACCAACTGCCTCAGACAAATCTATATTTCTATATTTTCTATACTTTCGAACTGCTCATGGAATATAATACAAGGAAATTGACTATTAAAACACAAAGTATGCCTTAAAACACAAATTTTTATTCAGATACGTGTACAAACCATGTTTGAAAGTCTCTCTTAGACTAAGAATTATGACGTCACATATTGTTTTACAATACACTGAGGCAATTTTACCAAAATCGAAAGTGACCAAGAAACTTATGACGTCTCATATTGTTTTACAATGTATAGAAAGTATAGACATAGGGATTTCACCAAAATGTTAAGTATAGAAAGTATCGAAAGTAAAGACATAGGGAATTCACCAAAATCAAAAGTATAGACAGTATAGAAAGTATAGACATGTATAGACTTTAGAGAATTCAATCGTCTAAGACTGAAAAAAGTATCATTTAAAAAAAAGCAGTTCGAAAGTATAGAAAGTATAGAATATGCCATAATTTTGGATATACATGGATCCAGATGTATGTAATAGTATTGATGCAATCACTGGATGGTGTTGTACATGCCTTGTTGGGAGTAGGGTTTTAGGCACAAGGGGTATAAAAGCAAAAAGAAATACAGAAGTTTGACATTTTAAAATCAAAAGATATGTATGAAATGTTGTCATCTGAAGAAGATGATGATAGCTCAGAGAATCTCTTATTATAATGAACAAACACATGAATGTGCTCATCAACAGTTATGTAAAGTCCATTCGTTTACAAATGTTGCTCTTTGTCCTCACTTTGATGTGAAATAATAAATTTAGTATTTTACTGCCACAAACTGCATATACGTATATGTGCAAATGATCTAAGGAAGCAGATCAATATATAATTGATTGATATGCATTTTTGACTTGTTAATTACTTCATGTGTTTTTAAATGTTGCCCCTTGTTCTTTCTCATTGTGATGTAAATTAAAAAAAACACAATATTCTTTTCTGACATAGTTTCGCAAACTTTTTTGTAGACAATTGTTCTAAATGAAGTATAAAGAAGATCACTATTCAATATTTTGTTTGTATTTTTGACTTGTTATATTTTATATGTTTTCGAATGTTGCCCAATATGCTTTGTCACTATTATGTAAGATAATGGCAACAGGATCAATTAAAGTCTTAAATGACTGAAAATAATGATTACTTTGATAATAAATAGAAACATTGACAATAATGATGTGAAAAAAGTGATTTTTCCTTGAAAATGTCATTTTATACAAGTTAATAGAATGACCTATATTTTGAAATATAAATGTCAGAATGACCTAATTTTTGGATCTGGTTGTCAAACAAAGTCTCTTCTTTGATATCCTGTACAATTTTTCTAAATATCTTGGGGCCTAATTATAGGGTCTTAAAGCCACTCATCCTTTAAAACGCTTGCCAAATTAAAGACAAATACAGTATCTGTTAACCATTACTGGAATTCTGTCCAGAAGTAGACCTTGCAGCATCAACATTTTCCCTCATTGATACTGTTATAACAATGTTCAAGGCATTTCTTCACATCGGCAAAGTTGGGGTCTATTGCAAAAGCAGTTTCCAAGTCAACTGCTGCATTTTTGAATCTCCCTGAAAATAAAACAATTGGTTCTTTAAATTAAAAGTTCTACATGATATTGTTGTTATCAGTCGGGATTGTTGAACAATTTTTGAAGTGCCCACAATACATGTATATCCTATCTTGTGATCAGTGAAGGGAGTCTGATGTTTTTTTATTTGTCAATTGTTTAATATAACATGTATAATGGTCATAAGGGAAACATTGACTTTGACAAGATTATAAAAAAATATTTACTTCTATATCCATCCATTTCTGCCATTTTAAATGTTAATTAAGAGCATCACAAAAACAAACAAAAATAAAGACTTCAACAGTTCATTTAACAAGTTGGTGAGAGTCGACATACCTAGCCTATAATGGATAAGACCCCTATTATACAGTGCAACTGGCCATTTTGGTTTATATATAAGGGCACTAGAATAGTCTTTGATAGCATCTTCAAAATCCACGTGTTTGTACTTGGCCAGCCCCCTGTTGTTGAAGGCTAGCCCTAGTCTCTCATTTCTGGAAGAAGAGCATCTTGACATTGCAATTCAAAATTATCCACAATGAGATATAATCAATCAAGGAAAAACATCCTTCCTTAAGGATAATCAGTCAAGCACAATAAAAGGTAACAATTATTTCATGAGGATCAGTTGGTCAAGCATAACAAAATGATTGCAGTATGATCAGTTTAAGACCATGGTATTTTAAAATCCTGTCGTGTACTTTGGCAGATTCACATTACTTTCGTCACATTACCTTCGTGGACTCTTACTTTTTTGATCCTGGAATTTTTTTGAATCCTGCCTGGTAAAATTATATGGCAATACGTTTCGAAAGAAACATTGACTCAAGTCCATGATTAAACTATGTCATATTATTTCCCAGTACTTTTACCCCCATTATCACCAGAATTGAACTTTCAGAGGGTGAGAAATCAAATAAAACGCACTTTAAATGACAAAAGGACCCTATCAGATTCTATTACCACCCTCCCCTCCATGAAAAAAAAATTAGTACCGTGGGTACTGGGCTCACATGATGTTGCTCAAAAGTGAAATTTTATAAAAACGGATATAATTTTTTTGCAGATTTTTGTGACAAAATTATTTCATGCAACTACTCTTTACAAAGACATGGCTTTTTACAATGCAGGACACCTGAACTTATTTGTAAAGCTAGGAAATGGGCCAAAAGTGCATTTCCCGAGACTGAAATGGTGGCCATTTGAAAATAGGCAAGATTTTGAAGCAGGAGTTACAGTTTTTTTTTCTTTATTGATGTTGAACAAAAATATTTTAAATTGAGAATCCTATCTACAGAGGATTTAAAAAGAGCCAAGTGTTGACAGACAGAGGTTTTAAAACTTGCCACTATTTTGGACTGACTGAGAGACAGATGGACAAATCAATGTTAACTAAAATGGCTGAAAATAAAAAAACGGATATAATATTTAGCCGATTTTTTGTAACGAAATTATTTCATACAACCTCTCTTTACAGTGACATGGCTTTTTACAATGCAGGACAGCTGAAATTATTTGTAAAGCTAGGAAATGGGCCAAAAGTGAATTTCGCGAAACAAGAATGGCGACCATTTTGAAAATAGGCGAGCTTTTGAACCAAGAGTCATAGGAGAGTTTTTTGTATTGATGTTGAACAAAATTAACTTAAAACAGGAATCCTATCGACAGAGGGTTTAAAACGTGCCACTTTTGTTGACGGAAAAGTGGATTTCGCGAGTCAGATGGACAAATCAATGTTAACTAAAATGGCTGAAAATAAAAAAATGGATATAATTTTTCGCTGATTTTTTGTAACAAAATTATTTCATATATCTACTCTTTACATTGACATGGATTTTTACAATGACACCTGAAATTATTTGTAAAGCTAGGAAATGGGTCAAAAGTGAATTTTGCGAGACAAAAAATGGACGGACGGACGGACGGACGGACGGACAGACAGACAGACGGACAAGTGAGCGATTGCAAAAGCTCACCATGTGAGCTAACAAGGCACATGATGTGAATGAGATCACACCATCAAAAAACTTTCAGACAGGCGGTTTTCCTGGGGTTTGTGTAAAAAACCGGGTGACCGGGTAACCGGGTACTTAACGTTCCTAGCAGGGTTAGGAATTTTTTTATTTATAACGTTGGATCCAGACAATACATGTACGTTATTTTCGACGTCACGTTTTGAGGTTATTTCACATCGTAGGAACGTTTTGACAACGTTTACTTTTAACGTTAAAATAACGTGGGTAATATGAACTGATTTATTAAGAACATATTGACATCTTTGTAACGTTTCTTTAACTTACAAATATTTTGAAGCCATTTCCACAATGTTGAAATTCAACCATCCATCGACGTTTTGCTTAATATTTAAGTAACGTCAGATCAATACGGTCCATGAACGTCATTATGGTCGTCATGTTTTGAGGTTATTTCAAATCGAAAAAACGTTTCAACAACGTTAAATCTTAACGTTAACAATACGTCGGAAATGAACCGACTTAGTGAGAACACAAAGTTTTTGTAATGTTTTTTTTCCACCAACAAATATTTTGATATTAAAGGCCTGTTTTGACAACGTTGAATTTAACGTTTGAGTTACGTCACATATGGACCAATGTAGTAAAAAATCAAACGTTCCGGATTTTCTCGCATATACGCCCCCCTCAATTTAGGCCCATGGGCCAAAAATCGAATGTAGTACGCTTATACGCCCATGGGCCTATAAAAAATGATTATTTATTGATTTTTTCAATAAATTCAAGAGTATTTTGTCACTGGTTCTGTCGTTACTTTGTTTCAACATTAGTTCAACGCTGTCCTGTAAGTGGCAGTGGTGGATCGTTCTGTTGTTACTTTGTTTCAACATTAAGTCCAAGGTTGTAAGTGACATTTCCTTTATAATTCTTACAAAACATGCGGTAGGACTACAACAGTAGGTACGGTAGTCCATTGTATTCATCAGCTCTTCTCACCTTTACGCCCACTGGGCCAAAAATCGAAAGTAGTACACTTATACGCTCATGGGCGAAAAATAAGAGGTAAAATAACAGTTGAAATTACCCCTTCTTTCAGTTATACGCCCAGGGCTAATATGCGAGAAAATCCGGTATGTTATGTTTTCCACACTAACGAACTTTACGGACACGTTACAACAACGTTCTTTTTTATACCATCAATAGATGTCTCATGTTTACATTGCCTCGATGTGTAAAGAAAGAAAATGTGCAACGTCTTCTAGGAACTTATATGCGAGAAAATCCGGTACTTATGAGCAACGTGACATGGACGTCACTGTTTGCTGGATCGATTATTTTAAAAAGTGCTCTGTCTCGTATAGGGTAAAAAATATCGAACAGCAGTGCACTCAGTAGGCTAAGTCTGTCAAGTCAATTCGCTACTACAATCGGGGGAAATGTGGAACTTTTAAAGTTGGTAACCCTGCTAGGAACGGTTTTTTACACAAACCCTTACTTTCCTTGTATATTCACAGGGTTCTGTCACCAATAGATGCCATTGTCAGGTGTTATCTTAGTTCAACAAGTTAAACCCAATACCACGGCTTTCATTTATAATCTGAGTGTTCTTGTTGCCGTGGTTGGGTTTAACTTCCATGCTATGCTTTCATTGGTTGCAAATTCTCACTATTATTAATAAAATGCGCATAGAATTCCATGCGCTGCCATAGGCCATCATTATAATTTTTTGCATCAAGGGCCGAATAGGCACGGATGTTAAACCTAGGGCGGACCACAAGAAATGTCAGATAAGAAATAAGGCCCAGACTAGGTTTAACTTACTCACTTCGAGAGCCATGTTAGATTTTGAAACCCAAATAGCTTTCGCAGGAAGTAAGGTTTAACTTGTTGAACTAATCTAGCCTAAAGTCCATTTCACTGCTTCAGTTCGTCAGTAGAACGGCAAAAATAAGAAATTGGGAGACCATTGTGCAATAATATATGGAAAAGTATATTCATAATGTACACGAATGACATTTGTATATCTTGGATTGCTTCTAGTTTGGCTTATAAAGTGTGTGGCCTCTTATATTTGGATGTTTCTCTGCCATGTTATTTTCATTAAGATTAAGGTACAGCTGGAAAGTAACATTTTGGTAAAAAATTGCTATACCTGCACATGTTATTTTCTGGTACAAAATAAAGTATGAAGGCATGTATCAATTTCCTTGCTTTTTTCAGGAAAGTATCATTACATTGTCTTCTTTTAGAATATCTGGTAGGCGTTCAAAGGGAACTCCAGGGAATTCTGATATTTCACACTTCCTGTTTTTCCAAATTTTCTTTCAAAGTTTCCAGACAACACAGGAGCTACCATTGACCTGTTTCCAGGTTTACTAAAAGTAAACAGTGTAATGATACTTTCCTGAAAAAAGCAAGGAAATACACACACGCCTTCATACTTAATTATGTACCAGAAAATAACATGTGCAGGTATAGCAATTTTTTACCATAATGTTTCTTTCCAGCTGAACCTTAACATGGCTGAAATTCTTCAAATTACAAGACGGCACAGGCTTATTGCACAAAAAACTAAAAAATCTGAAATATACAAATGTCATTCATGTACATTATGAATATACTTTTCCATATATTATTGCACAATAGTCTCCCAATTTCTTATTTTTGCCGTTCTACTGACGAACTGAAGCAGTGAAATGGACTCTAGTTACTTCGGTCCAAAGCCTTCTCTATATTCCGGCTTTGAGGAGGAAGATTGAGCTGCCTTAGTATTATAAATATTGTAAATCATTGTGTCACACGCACAGTAAATATGGCATAATAATATGAAATATACCTTTATGTATAGATTTGAAGAACATCAGCTCACATCCCCGTCTGAATCTATTGTTATATTTGATTTCTTTAAGCGAGAATAATTTCAAATATTGAATTCACGTCCAGAACCGGAAGCCATTTTTAGCTACAGCGAGAAAATTCCACCATGTGTCAAACTCCGAAATGAAATTTTGAAATATCTTAATCCAGACAAGCAACGCTTCATCCCTAAATATGATCAATATTCTTAGAAATATTTATAAAATTTATTAAAAATGAATTCTAGGTGCGTGTAGGTGCGTGTAGCACAGTACATACGATATCAATTAAGTTACGTCTAGCTGTAAGCTAGAGACTCGAGTAAGACTCTAGTGTCTCTGTCAGGTGTTGATAGTAAAGGTTCCTGTGTTTCAAACTAGTTTGTACTTACTCGAGTCTCTAGCTTACAGCTAGACGAAACTTCATTGATTTCGTGTGTAATGTGCTACGCACCTACACGCACCTAGTCCAACAACATTAGACCTAGCCTGGGCCTTGTTTCTTATCTGACATGTCTTATGGCCCCGGCTAGGTCTAACTTCCATGATGATTTTGCCCTTGATGCGATCATTTAATCGTTCAGCAGGTTTCGACATGCGGAACTAATTAAACTCCGAAAACATGGTAATATTACATAAAGAATGTGATTCAAGCATGCATACATACCTTATAAATACATACACACCATCCCGTACCCCCCTTAGACCATATTGATGCATAATTACGAAAATATTGGAGACAGGTTTGGAATTTTACGAAAATATCGGTCAGCTCCGGTAACATCGAAATTGCAAATCGTATCAGGAATTAACCGTCATTGCGACACTGCATCAACGAACAGTAGGTTTGCAATTAATAACGATTTTGTGTGTATACAAGCGCTATATAAATCAATCAAAGATACCTGCTATCCTCAAAAATGGTTATTTTATCCCGAGTAATCGCGTGATAATTATCAATCTATTTGACAACAATTTCGTTTCAATAGTTTAAATTTTAACCCGGGACGAACAGACACAATGACAGACATGCGGAAATGTCATTTTAGAGATTGGTAAGTTTAACCTCATTTTACTTGTATAAATGACCATTTAATACAATAATATTGTGTTGAATCGCTTGATGTTATGTGTTTTTATATTGTTGTCAAGTATCAGTTGCATGTTATCGCGGAAAAATGGTTTCGGTGGATCCAAAACTTGCATCAATGGAAAGAATAGTAAAGAGGTTAAACTCAATAATGGCCCCAAGAAAATTCTTAATAGTAAATAACGCCGTTATTGAGTTTAACGACGTTGAACTAACACGCACCTAGAACTCATTTTAAATAAATTTTATAAATATTTTTAAGAATATTAATCATATTTAGGATGAAGCGTTGCTTGTCTGGATTTAGATATTTCAAAATTTCATTTTGGAGTTTTGACAGATGGTGAAATTTTCTCGCTGTAGCTAAAAATGGCTTCCGGTTCTGGACGTGAATAACATTTGAAATTATTCTCGCTTAAAGAAATCAAATATAACAATAGATTCAGACGGGGATGTGAGCTGATGTTCTTCAAATCTATACATAAATGTATATTTCATATTATTATGCCATATTTACTGTGCGTGTGACACAATGATTTACAATATTTATAATACTAAGGCAGCTCAATCTTCCTCCTCAAAGCCGGAATATAGAGAAGGCTTTGGACCGAAGTAAGTTTGTACTTACAAAAGTTTAATTTCCTCTTTTGAATTGTAAGTTTTAAGCTGTTCACATGCTGCAACTATGTACTCAGTGTAATTATCAATCGATTCATCTTTCTGAGCATTTGAAAATAGAATTTCACAATTTTTCTTTTTCTCCATATTCAGTTGGGATACCCCGGAAATGACGCCAAACTAATAGGGAAATTCCTACCACGTTGTGAACTGTCACGTGACCGTCCTCTCTGCGCCATTTTACAATAGGGTAAGCACGTTGGAAAACGTTGGCTAAAAATTGAACCTTTCACCTAGATTGTTACTATAAAATTTCAATTTAATGATTTGTAAAGTGTAACAATGTATATGTGAATTTCTTTTGTAGATCTAGTTCTAATTATAGGAAGGTCAATAATATTTTGTACTTTGGCTTTGGGTTCCAAACAACATTTTTGAAAAAGGCCGTGCCTGGAGAGCCTTAAAATTTAAGGCTCTCTAGCCAAAATGCTAAAGAGCCTTAAATTTTAAGGTTCTTTAGCATTTCGGCTAAAGAGCCTTAAATTTTAAGGCTCTTTAGCATTTTGATAGCCAATTCTGCTAAAGAGCCTTTAGGAATTCCAGGCGACAGAAATGACGAAATATTGCTTCTGGGACAAGATCAAACGACTTTGACATATTCTATACCCAACCTATTTTGTAATTTAACAATCAGCACAAATATACATACCATATTAGCAGATATCGGACAAATTCAAAGAGAAATTTTTTTTGATCGATAAAATCACTGATTATTAAACCGGAAGTGTCTTCTCTGAGGTCCGCGAAGATGAAGAAGATAACATATAAAGATTTCAGTCATTTCAACTAACTTTGCCGTTGATTTGATTTATATGGTTTTAAATGATCTTCTAATGCTTACTATGACTTCTATTAGTACTGTTTTGACTTCCCCACTTCATAAAAAAACATTATCACTTTTTGTTCGACTCATCAATTTACTTCCGGTCTACCGAGACAAATAAAAGAATGTTTTCAATCCTCAGTCTAAATTTGGCTTTTTAAAGGTTCAAACATCGACTTTGAAAAGAAAATGTTTGTTTGTTTGATGTTCATGCATATATCGAAAATATATGTCTCTGGTTCACCAGAGAAGGTGTAAGACCAGGCAATCACGTACAGTATAGCCAGAAAAAGGTTATTTTTACCATTTTATCCACTATAAATCGCAACTTCCGTTTAGTAAAGATTTTGATGTATAGACATTTATTGATGGAATGGAGGCTAGGATAAAAATGTTGTTGTTGTGTTGCATAAGCCGCTATTTCCTCGACAGTTCACCTCTTGTACTGTAAATTTTTTTTGTGCTCTCTCATGTGCTTAAATTCTCACTTGTGAGGAAAATATTATGCAAAAATATCTCGTCACGTGAAAAATTCTAAAATCAGCATTGAAATCTATAGGGCAATAGATTTGGAAGTGTATTCTGTGATGTCCCTGGGCTAATGTCCCTGCATTCACGATAAACTTCGTCAAGATGTGCTGATCTAGAAGAAACAAGATCCTTTTCATCCCCAGGTCTTCATCATACTTTTTGCCATCCTAAAATGGGATTCCCTGTATTCTCGTGACTATAGCAAAGCCAATACAAGTGATTAATTTCATTAAACATTGATGATTGAGCGATGGAGCAAGCCCAAGAATTCTAGAAAAAATTGTGTACATAATTTCCGGACCTCAGAGAACAAACTTCCGGCTTGTTATTCAAAATAAAAAGTGCTCCGTCGGGGAATCGAACCCACGCCGCAGGAGCGGAAAGCGAGCACCCTAACCACTATACCAGAGTGTTCTACCGTGAAAGGACACAATTTTTTGCAACTTTATAGTAATATACATGTGTGAAATTTTTAAGTGGCATTCTGGGTTGAAAAACTTTCGAGACAGTTGTTTTATTGTTTAGATGACGAAAACTTCAATAAAAAACAATATAAACACGGATTATAAACACAAAGGCTCTCTAGCCAAAACACTATGTTCACAGCTAAATAGCCTTAAATTTTAAGGCTCTTTAGCATTTTGGCTAAAGAGCCTTAAATTTTAAGGTACTCCAGACACTTCGTTTGAAAAATGCTGTTTGATGCTGTCCCTAGGTGCATTCATGCACCCTCTGGGTCTCTGAGGATCGTGTTGGCCCCAGGGGTGCATAACGTGCAATGTAAATTTATCAAATTTAAGAAATGCTGAAAAGTCCGGATCTGATGTTTTTGACTTTTCTCCCAAGATCTTACCTCAATCTTGAAAATTCTTTCACCACTGGATAGCGGGACCAAAAATCTTCAAAATGAACCCTTAAATGCCTCGCTTTATTACAGTAATTCTGTGTAATCCTTGCAGATAAGACGAAATTGCATTTCTGACCGGTCTTCTTGACATTTTCGCTGACCTAATTTCAAGTGCGCATGCGTTGCATAAATCAGTGTGATGATCACGTGACGTGACGTAATTTGATGATCACGTGTTGTAATGTTTTCCAATAACCAGTTTGTAAAACTGCTATAGTGGATTCTTGATTCAATATGTTTGTTATCACGTCTTGTAACTGTTCTGGCTTCAAATCAAATCCAAACTTTGGTTTTATGTTATGCGAATAGAGATCATTGATTTCTTCCATCAAATACATGATGGTCGAATGAATGATATAAACTCTGTATAGTCAAATAGATGTCAGCAATATTCAATGCCTACTCTCGTCAAATCTCGTGAGAATAGAAGCCGCCATAAAGATTTTGTAAACAGTAGCGACAAACGGCGATTTTGCTACAAAATTAGCACAATTCAACCTTCTACAACCACAAAGCTATGGTAATTTTTTGTATAAATCATCAATGTATCCATTTTGTTTATATTTCTCTGTAAATGACGCAGAGATTCTAAGCAGAAGATTAAGATAAAGTGAACCGGCAAAAATAATCAAGAAAAACTTAGATTGGCATGAATTTACAAGGATAAACACCGCCTCTAATGCAAGTCCTTACGACAATCCAACGCATTAGAGGCGGTGTTCACCGTCTATGCTGTCCCTAGCTCCCGATTTCGTTACTCGGCTGGGAAAAAAGGTTTGAGGGTATCATTTTGTTCCAGACACTCTCTCGAATAAATTTATCTTGGGTTGAGTAAAAATTTGTGGTAAGTGAATTCGCTATGGGCTTACCTTCTTGGGGCCAAGGGTTACTCACTTCGAGAGCCATGTTAGATTTTGAAACCTATGGCTCTCAAACGGGGAAGTAAACATCTGATTAATAATAATAACCTTTGAAATCAAATTAAGTCGATCCGCGGCTTACTTTTGGTCTCTAACTGTGTCTTACATCAGTAACATCAATCCGTGTACTATTTTTTTCATGGCCTGAGTTTGTCGCTAACATGCTAAATATAAGAGTTAGCTGACGTTTGGGAGTCTGACTTACCTTCTAAAGGTTAGAACCCGAATCTTAATGAAACCATATCACCTTTGTTGCGTCATTGATGATGCATAAACACAGCATTTGATAGAAATTAGTGTAAATGCTTTTCCGACTTTTTCATTTTTCATCATGTTGACATCCGGGAAGGCGTTGTAGTTATCACGAAATAACGCATTGACCCTTGAACTTTACTTTGTTGACGTGTCAACCAAGCATGTCTGGTGTGAAAATTAAAAGAATATAAGCAATGTTTTACATCCGCCAAGCTAAGTGAAGTAGCCAATATTTAAAATTACCAATTTCAAGTGATGTACGCATCGAACGAAACTGCGTGATCTGCACTCCCACTATTGGTCTGAACGAAATGCTACGTAGAAATATGAGCCGTCTGCTGTATTAGTCGATTAATAGAGTAAGACCTGTTGGTGATGCTTTATAATTTAGACCAAAACATTGGAGAACAAACGAACCTGTAAATCGTGAAAACAACGAACAAATATTCGGTTTTCACATATGTTCGGTAATTTTTCGTATTGAAACTTCCGGAACTTACAAGGAAATCATTCATTTTCACGGTCCATGATTTACCTCTTGGATGTTGTGGCAAATGCTCCATGGTTGACGGAACAAAGGTGATATGGTTTCATTAAGATTCGGGTTCTAACCTTTAGAAGGTAAGTCAGATCTCCCAAACGTCAGCTAACTCTTCAATTTAGCATGTAAGCGACGAACTCAGGCCATGAAAAAAATAGTAAGTATTTGAGGGCTGAAGTACTTCCTTTTCGATCAAGACTTGTAATTAAGTATGATGGCATGTGTGTATTTCCTTGCTTTTCAGGAAAGTATCAAGATGGCCATTAATAATATTGCCGTCCGTACAGATATCAGATGTGGATGAAAAAATTTAACTCGATACCTACTTCCTGTCGGCCATTTTGAAGTCAAATGCTAAAATCCTTCTCTGCAAATTTAACAAACAAAAATGGCGATCATAAAAAGGAAAATAGATCGCTTTTCAAATCATTTTCAATCAATCAATTTCTTTTTCTATGAATGATATCAAATTTTCAAAGATTGTATCATTTAGAGCAATATATTGGGCACATTTTCTGAAAAATTCAAAAGATTCTGTTCACTGACCTTTCCAACCTTCTACTTTTAGCTATTTTTCAGTCACATTTTCATAGGGCTGAAAAGATTATTTCATCATGTAAAGGGTCATTCTGAGCATGAACATTGTGATCCTGGACCTGTAAATGGTATTTGGAACTAGTTGAATTGACTGGAGGTCAAAACAGAACTCCGTTATTAGGGTGGCTCAAAATAATTTTTTTTTGGAAATGTTATGCTCCCTACGTGAATCGAGTTGCATTTTGGGGTTAATATCACCTGTGATTTTTTTCAATTTTTTTAGTCAACTTTTAGGGGTCCCCCACAGCCTTTGAAGTTTGCCCATAGGCTTAACATTAGTGGGCGTCGTCCAAAATCGTACTTTGTTGAAGTTTTCTTCTAGAGTGATTTATATTTGTTGTGTGAAGAAAAACAACATTGTATATGATATTATTAGATGTTTAAATCATCATATTACTCTGTTCCATCATGTGAACTTATATAAAAGGTTATTAACAAAATATTAGGTTCATTCGACCAGTATAATTATTTGAACAAATACAGTTTTAGAGAATCATGTCTCATATATGATTTGGTATTGTCATTATAATGTTTTAAACTGTAAAAGGTATATTCATTCTTGACATTCAATGTTTTAAACATGGTTCAGATCAGATTTTCTTCCTCTATGATCTGA